TTAGAACACGATCACTGGGCTCCACCCCCAGCGCTTCTGATTTAATAGGGCTGACGCGGCCTGGGCATCTGCACTTCTACCAGCCTCCCGGGGGATGCTGATGCTGCCGGCCCAGGGCCTGTGAGAATCACTGACCTGCAGGATTCCTGCCCGCTGGCCCTGCCTCAACACGCCCGGGTCTCCTCCCACTAAAATCCCAGCACTTATTCCACCCACATCAAGCCTCAGTTTCCCCCAGGAGACTTGAGGCTGAGGAAGAATCTGACAGATGTCTGCATCTGCAGTGCCTGAGGCAGAACCAGGGGGCTCGGCTAGTATATTCCAGTAAATGGAAGAACTGGAATATGTGAGTGTATCTGGGCGTGGGAGAGGGGAGGGGAAGCTGCCATGACACGCCACACACAGAAAAGAGGACAGAGGCACAGGCCAAAGTGAAACAACTGAAAACAATCTGAAGGGTCTAGTGGACCACAAGCACAGTAACTGCTAGATGGAGGCTAAATCAGTCAGTGAGATCTTGGCTACCTGATCAGCAGGGGGTCACCAATGGGGACAGAACATGTGAGCAGATAGTATCTCAAGCTCTGAGGTCTGGGGGTGGCTGGTGGCAATCCCCCAAGGGCATTCGAGAGGATGCGAGATGTCTAACTGCCTGACCCTCCCAGAACCTTTCACTCTGCCGCTGCAGAGAGGGAACAACACAGCTGAGGAATTACTGTTAAGTTAAGCTGGCACCTAGAACAGAGCTTGCCACATAGGAGGCCCTCAGAAGATGCTTGTTGGATGAATGCATGAATGAATGAATGGCACTGAGAAGAGAACTGATGTGATAGGGCCCAAGGCCAAGGACAACCAGAGGAAGACGTGCAGATGGGGAGAGTACACAGACACTGACTGAAGACAAAATGAGGTTTAGGGGCAGGTGTGTGTCGAAGTGCCCGATGAGGGACACGCCTGGAAGGTGAGGCCAAGGAGACTGGTCCTTCGGCGGAACACCTGCGGGAAGGGCAGATGTAGGCGTGGGCTGTGGCCGCCATGGAGGCAGGAGGCCGAGGCGGCTGACGGTAAAGGCTGATGGAGCCGCAAACAGGAACTGAGGCCAGGATGATGAGGGCAGGGTGTCAGCCACATGGGCGCGGTAATCCCTGGGACACAGCAGCACTTGGGTGGAAAAGGCCGGGAAATTAGAGGTGCCAGGCCCCTGGTGCCCGGTGGGAGATGGTCCACAGGGTTTGGCAACAAGGTGGGCAGGGCTGTGGGGCGTGGGGAGCCAACAACAGCATTAGCCTGTAGGGGCTTCCAAGTGGAGAGTTCGTTCTGGAAGCAGCACTGAGGAAAGAGAGAACGCCCACCCCATCTCCAGACCTGCAGGATGCTGAGGGAGGTGTTCGGTTTCTACTGGTGGGGAGACCCAAGGGCTGCACGCCCCTGAGGAGAGCCTGGGCTCAGCCTGGGCTGGCTGCCAACCTGCAGGAGGAGGCTGAGGGTGGAAGGCGTCCGGGGCTTGGGCCTCAGACAGGCGGGGCAGGAGAGGCCCGAGTGGGAAGGGAGGAGAGGAAGGGGGCAGGCGGCTGCAGCTGGGGCTGGGCCGAGTGCCACCCACAGCTCTCTGCTCGGCCACCAGACACCTTGGGAAGACCCACTAAAGCCTGGCGTAGGAATGAACAGAGGAGAAGAGCAGGTTCCAAACTTGCATATGTGATTGCAAAACTGTGTACTGAAAAGCAAAACAAACGCCTCTTTAACCCCAACTGGAGAAACAGTCTAGAAGGAAACATAGCAAACCCTAACACTGGTTCTTTCTGGCTAAAGAAAGCCTTCAGCAACATAGTACCTATGCACATCTTCAGTCCCGGTGTCTGGAATGGTGTGGGGCACAGCTGGTGCTCAGTTACCGGGGCCGAATGAACTCTGGAGCTCACGGGCATGAGCTGCGCAGATAACGGGGGTGGGGGAGTATTTTAAATGGAACTGAGTCCTGCCACCATGTGCCTCCCCCCGGCCACGCCCCAGGACCGGCCACCCCCCAACACTCCCTCTCAGACAGCCAGGCACTCACTTCCACTCAGCTTTCCCCCTCTGGCCAGGGGCGCCTGAGGTTCGGAGCAGGGATCGGGCCTGCCCCCACACCAGGGCCTGCACCAGGCTCCGGGGCAGGTGAGCGCCCAGAATGAACCAGGCCTGACGGCAAATGCTCCACCCCTCTGTCACATCCTGATTTCTGGTCCACAAAACCCGGTCACCTGAAGTCCACTGTCCTGCCCTCACAGAGTGGACAGCTGAGGTGGGGAGACCATAATGCCCCTACCAGGGATCCCACAGGAGGGGGAGGCCCACTGCCAAGAGGTGTCTCGTAGAACAGAGGGACAGGTGGGAACCCGGAGGTGGGGAGGGAGGGGATTTAACATGGGTATATTGCCACTAAATGCCACAGGCTTACCCTCCCCTACCACAGGCTCCGTTCATCCTCCTACAACTCTGGAGACTAGAAAGGTCAGGTTTACACCAAGGCCCAGAGAAGCAATCTTCCCTGCCCAGTGTCACACCAACAACAAGGGACCGAGCCAGCATCCAACCCAGGTCTGGCTGGTTTCAAATCCTGTGCCCATCGGCCCCAGGCTGCATCAAGAGGTAAAGGGGTGGCTTCCTGGAGGAGGGGGTATTGCGTGTTGAGGGCGTGGTGTACCAGCATCCTGAGGTTCAGTATCCCCAGAGTGAAGTGGTTGGGGGGCATGGGGGTGCAGCTCAGGCTGAGCACCCCTGTTCCATGGAGAAAACAGGACGGGGCAGGGGAGGCCCTGCAGGGCAACGGGCCCTAAAGCGAGGGCTGACAACAAACAGGGCCCAGTCAACAGGGACAGGAAGGGAGGTAAGGCACAGTAATAAGCTCCCCAGGGCCCCCTACCTCCTTCTAGGGCCCAGGAGTTGTCACCACAGAAGCACCAGGAGGCAGAGTGCAATTAGCCAAGAGCACCTTGCTCTGCTCCAGCCTCCCGGGGACCCAAGCTCCTGGAGATCAGCCTCCCAGCCCTTGAAGCCTCCAGACCAGCCAGGCCAGGTGCCCTGTTACCCTGCAGGCAGAAGCTTCGGCCCAGAGACAAATAAACACAGACCCGCCACAGCATCAATGACAGTCCTCCTGTCTGCGGGTCCTGAGCCCCTTCTTCCACTCACTAGATGGGGGACCAGGCCACCGCCGAAGGCCAGGCCCAGGACAGGACACACAGCAGGCGGAGCCTCCTCCCTACAAATGACCAGCGAGCCCATTCCCCGGGAGGGGACACAGTGGGCCAGGCTCTGGCCCCACTGAAGGTCCCAGGAGGCATAGGGTAGGAGGGCCGGCCGTGGGGCTGCTGCCCAGCAGCTCAGTCCAACAGTTTGGGGAGGGGTTCTGTTCTCAAAACTTTCTTGAGCCTTCTCTGGGCCAGGATCCCGCTGGGCTCAGTGGGAAGACATAGTTGGGCCAGCTTTGCCCACGGGGAGCTCACCTCAAGAAGGGAGACCACAGGTAAACAGGGGATTATAGGGCGGGGTGGGAAGTATAGGGCCAGCCCCACAGGATCCCTGAGTGCCACCGTCAGCCCCAGACTTGAGCCCTGACTTAGCTGCGGACGGGCTCAGAGGCCGGGGGACCTAGATCTGGGCCCAGAGAAGGAGCCTGGAACCTGGAGACAGGGGGGTGAGGACAGAGAATAGCATCCAGAGAACAGCACTGGGCCCCAACCCTCTCTGGTCCTTGAGGCCCATGAGTGAAATGATCCCACATGTGGCTCTCTGAGCCCCTTCCAGCTTGGACATCCTACAACCACCCCCATCTACAGGCTGCAGCAGTGACCTTTGCTAGGGCCCTCCAGCACCTGTGTCCCCACAGGACCAACAGGAGCCAGATCCCAGGGATACCCACCCTGGGGTGGCTTTGAAAGGTCACACCCCCATTCAGAAGACATGAGAGTAGGACACCTAACACAGTCCCAGCCCCGGCTAAGGGCACAGCTCCCTCTGATGGTGGACGGACGCTCCCTGCTTGCCTGGGAATGCCCATTATGTCCTATGAATATTAATTATCAAAACACGGGTAATGCAGCCACCATTCACTGGGCACGGCACTGCACAGGCCCTCTGAGAACAGTTTTACCCTAACAAGCTCCCGGAGAGGGAGCTACCCTCATATCCTGGCTTTTTTGGATGAGTAAACAGAGCTAATCATAAAGCTATCAAATGGTGAGGCAAAGGCTTCAACCTAAGCCGTAAGGCTGACATGCCCAGAGCTCGTAAGCCCTGCTGCTAGCTCCTCAGGGGAAAGGCAGGAAGGGCAGGGATGCGCAGGGGACTGGTATCTGCTAGCACAGGAACCCAGCATGCAGTCCTGATGGATTACTCCATAGAGACCAGCAGTCCAGCCTCTACCCCAGCCTCCCCGCTTCCCCAGGAAGGGAGCTCTCCGTGTGGGATTAAAGGGCTGCACTGCCGAGTGCCGCCACAAGAGGACGGAGTGTCGCGACCGGAGCCAGGTTCTTTCCAACCTAAGCCCTTGGCGCTGGTCCAGAACATCAGCACTTGGAACCACAAATCATGAAACAAAACCAGCAGGACTACTCCCGCTGAACAAGTGAAAAAACTGAGTCCAAGACAAGGACAAGGACTGGCTAAGTCTCTACAGCAGGTACTGGCAGCGGGCCTCCTGAGCCCAGTTAGTGGGCTCTTCACACTGCACCTGATTCAGGCAGGTTCCACATTTCACAGGTACAGATTCTGCCAGGTGGTTCCAGGGACACCGTGGGCCCCCAGTGTTCAGGTGGGGACACATGAGAATGCCCTTGGGAGCTACAGAGATTCCCAGCACCCGGCCCCGGAGAGCCTAAGCCGGCAGGTGAGGGGACAGCAATTCTGCTGCTCAGCCAATGCTGGGAGCCGTGGTGTCACCCCACCCCGCACAGGTTTTCATAAAGTCAGGCTGCACCTCCCCTGTCCGGCAGCGAGGGCCCCACCCCAGGCCTCACCTTCTGCCACAGTGACTCCCGGGAGGCGAGCGACGAGCAGGCCGCCACAAACCAGCAGTTGCCCACTTGGCCCTGGTGCAGGTCATGGGAGCTGATGCCGTCCACAAAGAGGCGCGGGTCCTCACATATGTCCTGCGGAGAAGCCAAGCGGAGACCTCACTGTCAGCGTGGAGATTTGCCCGCCTCCCCTTGCAGACTGGGGGCCCCCTGTGTGGCCGGTCGGTTTCTCCAAATCCAGCTCCCCCCCAGGTGCTGCCTGGGATGCCCTTCTCCCTTCCGCTGGCTGAAAAAGTCTGCCCTTCAGGGCCAGAGGTTCGATGATGAAAAGATGCTGTGGAAGGACTTAGGGGGACTGGCCCTGGGGCAGCCCCTTCCTCCTGCCCTTTGTGCTCTTCCCCAACCAGCAAAGGGTCAGTTCCTGTCCTCCCCCAGCAGCAGCAACCCTGCAGTGCCCACACCAGCCCACCCTCACGGGCCCCCAGTCACAAAGAGGGTGGAAACAAAGAGCAAACTCAGGGAATGAATGAGTGGTAAAGGGCAGGGGAGAAGCAGGGAGCTGACCGTGCCAGGCCCGGTGCCCGCACAGCCTCAGGCTGTCTCACTGGACCCTCGACCCACCTGAGGAGTGTGGGGCTGTTATTCCAGTTTACGGACAAGGAATGAAGGTTCAGAGAAGGGCAGTGACTTGTCAAGGACACACAGCAAGCAATACCGAGCAGAGCTCCTGGAGGGCCTTTCATGTGGCCAGTGTGGGCCCGATGGGCCAGGCGGGGACAGGGCTGGATATGAAGGCAGTTCCCTTCCCCCTTCACAGTCCAGGTCTCTGCTTGGGGCACGCAGGTGCCCACCTGTGTCCCGAAGCATCTTCACACCACAGAGCTGAGAGGGAGGTGGTGAACACTGAGACAGGCCTCTGTGTGCCTGGCATCCTACTGGCGCCATGATCCATCCTCACCATGATCCTGAGAGGTGGGCACTGTGCTCATTGTACAGATGAGCAAACCGAGGCCCAGAGAGGTTGAACAACATGCCCCACACACAGCTAGGCCTGCCTCCACCACAGAGAGCTCCTGAGGTCCTACCACAGGCAGCCAGCAGAAGGTAGCAGAGTCAGGAAGACCCATTTATGGCTGTGCAACTTCGGGCCAGTGGCTCAACCTCTCTCAGCCTCTGTTTTCCTCACCGGTGCAAAGGAGGCAGATCATTCTCCCTGCAGGGCTCTGTAAGGACTCCACGGATTATGGAAGCCGTGCACTCCACAGGGAAAATGGGGCAAAGGGCTACAGGTTCTCACTAAGGCCTCTGGGACTCCTGTTGCCACCTCTGCCTGGGAAAACCAGTGTTTTGGAGGGCCAGATTGAAGGCCCAACCGCCCTGAGACTGGGCAGAGTCTGGCCTGGGCCCTGTCCTGGAGCTCCAGACAGGACTTCGCTGTGACACAGAGCCAAGCCACAAGGTGGCTTCCCCATAGTACGGACTGTGGCATGCCCCAGGTCTGAGTAATATTGCCCCGGGTCACGGGAACCCAGTGAGGCTGGAAACACGCAGAAGCCATGCTATCAGGAAGCAGGGCAGGAAGAAGCCCGCCTCCCTCCCTGCCGCCCTCCTATCTTCTCTCCCAGGCCCTGGCCTGCACGCAGACCGGCACTGGAGCCCGAGGGAGCCATGACTTAGCATCCGCCTCCCTGCAGGCAGGGTGGGAGCGGGGGCTGCTTCATATCTGGAGGATCCCAGCCACATGCCCACCTGAGATGGGAGGGGAGGCAGTCACAGCCTGGCATCACCTGGATCTGCAGAGGTGACCTCCTAGTACCCCTCCCCTTCAGATCCTCCCGGCCAAGGCGCTGGAGAGACATGACTGCCCGGTGGTCCGCAGAGGAGGATGCCGAGGCCCAGGAGGAGGCAGTGACACCCAAGGTCACATGGCAGTAAGTGAGCCAATGGGACAGAACCCAGGTCGGCTGGGCTCCCTGAGTAGGGCTCTGCTCCGGCCTGCTGAGCAGGGACCGCCAGGGCTGACCTGTGGGGCAGGTCCGACCGTCCCAGCCTGGCCCTGCCACCCAGAACAGGGCTCTGGCACAGATGAGGAAACTAAGGCACAGAGAGGTTAAGTCATTTGCCTAGGGCCACAGAGGAAAAGGGGAAGTGAGACCCAAATTCAGGCAGTCAGCACCACAGCCTCGGGGCGGGGGCGGGGGGGGGGGGGTGGCTAGGACTTATGAGAGACAAAGCCACCCTGCTTCCTCGCCCCCGGCACCCCTCCGCCCGCACCTGTCTTCAGCCCAGCTTAGGGGTAACCCGCTGCACAATAATGAGACCGAGGGGTCAGGGGCAGCCCAAACGCTCACCTACCCTTAGGGCCAGGATCTCAAGACCTGTGATTGTCCTTCCATCTCTTCTGGGCACAGAGCACAGAGCTAGTCAGGGAAGTTCCCAGCCTGAGGGCACAGCCCTTGAGGAGGAAGAGCCTGACTAGGACCCTCCATGTGAGCAGAGTTATTAACAGCAGGAAGCCAGGGAGAGATCAGAGGAGACTGCCTGGAGGCAGTGACACCAACAGAGCACGCATGGAGAGGGCCAGTGGGTAGGGAGGTCTCTGGAAAGAAAAGAGAGACTCCAAATTCACCCCAAGAAAAGATCCAGCCACAGTACTGAGACACAAGCCACCCCTGACACCATGCTCCCGTGGGCTCCTGGCCACCTGTGCTCCCACCCATCACTGTCCACACTCTGGGTCACCCCCACCAGCCTGCGAGCTCCAGGACAGGGCCCAGGCCCGACTCTGCCCACTACCAGTGTCAGGAGCAGGCCTTGGCAGGTGCTGCTGGGACTGCAGGTGGGCTCCCCGGGAGCAAGGGAGGGCAAAGTGGCTCGCAGGACTGGGCCAGACAGGCATCTGCGGGGAGCCCCGCACCAAGCCATCCCCCAGGGCTGGGAGGTGACGGCTCTTCTGCTCTAGGAACCTCTCTCTGGGGCACGGCCTTCTACACCCACAGTCACCTCTCACCTCTTGGCCCCTCAGCCTGTCAGACCAGCTCCACCAGACACAGGGCATAGCCCAGAACCGTCTGCCTCCGGGGCACAATGAGAATTTCAGGTTTGCAGGCCTGGTGTACACACAGGCATGCAGCAAGACAGCGGATCCGGGGCACATTCCTCTCCCACCCCCTGCTCATCTGTCACCGCCCCCCCAGCAATCTAAGATCCCAGCGGGAATGGACCACACAACCGGGGACAGTAAGGCCCAGGAAGAAAGCAGTCCGTCTGCCTGGGACAGGAAAAAGGGCAGGTTCTCAGGAGTAATAGCCACCCCATGCTCCCCCCACCCCCAGCAATCCCGTCCTGTAAGGCCGCCTGAGCACGTGCCCAGAAGGGAATCGTTCCTGGGCCGGAAAATGGCCCTCATGGCTGGCCCCAGCAAAACTACCTGTTCTGTGGCATAAAGGGGCCTACATCCCAGCACAGCCAAGGAGTGGGGTCTTCTCCACGTGCTGGTGTGATGAACTTGAGCCCAGGACTTGGGGCTGGGGAACACCAGGCCACTGGGGGGAGAATTCCAAGGGGGGGCTTCCTAAAACCAACATCTGTTTGTAGAACCCCTACTTGTTCCTTCTCGGTTCCACCAAAGGACTTGCAAACTTATTTCCAGACATGGGGGAAGGCAGAGTGCTGGATGGGACAGGGAGTACTCGGTCCCCACAGAGACGGAAAGGGGCCCCTGCAAAGGCCTTGGGCCTGAGAGAGGAGGAAGCCCCTCAAACATCCACACCCTCAGGGTTCCCCCTGAGTCACAGGCCTTGATGACAGTCTCCTTCTCTTATCTCCCTGGCCAGGCCTGTGGGGAAGGCTGCCAGGCGTTTACCCAACTGGAAGGAACAAAGAAACAATGAACCCAGAGGAAAGAGGAGGGTGTGGGCCTAAGGCAGGTGCCCTGGGTAGGGGAAGAGGTGGACGAGGCCTGGCCCCACCTGCAGAGTCCACAGGAGATGGCTCTTTCCAGGCAGGGCAAGCTCTGGGTCCCCAGCACAGGGTTAGCAAGGAGGAGGTGGGCAAAAGAGGGAGCCGGTTTGTCATCTGCCTCCCATATGTAACACCCCAGATACCTCAAGTCATTTCAACCTCCAGAAACCATGATCGGCAAGAGATAGTCTTCCCATTTACAGATGAAGCAACTGAGGCCAAGGGAGAGGAAGTGGCTTGCTCAAGGTCACACCTCCCATGACCCTCCTGGGAGGTAGGGCCAAGTCCATCTGGCTCAAAAACCAGCCTTCTCATTCCATTTTGGGAGAAAGCAAAGGGAAGGCCAGCAGGGAGGGAGGCTGACTGAGGAGATCCTCAAGAACAGAGAGACCACGACACTGACCAACTTAAAGGGCTGAAGGTGGGATGGAGTGAAGAAGGCCTTCCCAGGGGCTGTCCAGAAGGAGTTTTTTGCTCTATTTATAAACAGTCCGGTCACAAGCCCCAGGAAGTAGGACTTCATGAAAACACAGCTGCCTCGGGACAAAGTTCCATCTCAGCGGCCAAGGACCAAGCAGCTGGGAGTTAATGGTCACCCCGCCAGGCTGGCCTCGCCCCACCCGCCTGAGGAAAGCCGGGCCCGACTTCCTGCTCCACCAGCCAGCCGTCCTGACCGTGGGGTGAGGGCCTGCCCGGTACACGAGCCCCACACCACCCGGCAGGCGCCGCTTACACACCCACCGTCCAACACACCCTGGTCCACCCCATCTCAGCTCCTCATCCCACCCCACTCAGCTATGCCTAGCCTTGAACTCTGCCTCCCAAACCCAGAACCCATCCCCCACCGCCACCCATGGGCTGCACTCAGATGTCTCCCTGTCGGCACCAACCACCACCAGCCGCCTGTCACCGGCCTCCACAGGCAGGGCAGGGAGGGTCCGCTCCTCCTCTGCCAGCATCGAGCAAGGACCAGACACCACGCCCAGTGAGGAAGGCCATGAAGGAGGGTACAGCATGGCAGAACTCCCAAACTGGCAAGGAAAGGGGCCCAGAGAGGGCAGGTGACTCCTCCAGGGTCACACAGCAGGGGGATGCCGAGCCCAGGCAGACCGGCATTCCCTCCTCTCACCACACCAAGCCCACCTTTCCCCAGCCATGCCTCGCCAGCCTCCTGCCAGAGCCGCGGATCTAAAATGTCTGTGTGCTGGCCAGAGGGCGGGACGGGGGCAGCAAGGGGGTGGAGCGAGAGGAAGGCAGGGTGTGTCTCCCCCCAACACACACCCAAGGCCTCACAAAGGCCCTTTGAGGCTGGCCTCCTTCCCCACCCACCAGACAAAGGAGAGAGAGGAAGGCACGGGGGCAGGGGGCCTGAGCGGCAGGAATCTTGCGGCCAGGCCAGGAGGCTCCTGGGAGTTCCGGAGAACCAAGGCGTCGGGCAGAGCACCAGGGCAGGCAGGACTCCTGGGTCCCAGCCTGGCTCAATTACTGGCTCCCCGGGCAATCGGGGCATGCGCCTTCCCGCCTTGGCCTCAGTGCCTCTGCCTCTCAAGTACCCCAGTCCAAGAAAATACCCAGGATTTTTTGAGTTGGAAGGGACTTCAGATCACAGCCTAGGAGAGGAACACGAAAACTGAATCCCATTTTCCAAAAATGTCTAGGAGGTTGGAGGGAACGTCATAAAATGCAAATCTGCCCCTGTCACACCCTGCAGAAAACCTCACGCTCCCCCCACCACCACCCTCCCAGGCTCCCACTGCCCCAGGGCACACCAGCCCCACCAAACCCAGGAGCCAGGCTCCCTCTTCCCCGGTGTTCCTGCCATGTCCCAAATAAGCCTGAGGATTTCAAGTCTCCTGCCTTTTCCACACGGTGCCTCCTCCCACTTCCACCCGGAGATGCCTCCACTGACTAGGGGCAAGGGGTGACTCCTCCAACCAACATCCCTCCTGTGTGACCAACTCAGAGCCAGCAGTGGCCCGGTCGCCCGGGGCCCAGGGCCTCACACGCAGGGATCGGCGTCAAAGAGGATGGAATCGTGTCACGAGGCCAAACAATTCTGTTCGACACATTCTGGCATCGGCGACCAAAGCCGGGATGGGGAGCGGCCACACAGATGCCGCGGATTTGCCATCCTCAACAGTAATGGTGCCACTGCTGGTGCTGGGCGCCGGGCGCCGGGCGCCGGGTGCGGTGTCACGCTTACTCACCTGCCATCCCTCGGAATGCTCCCAACAACCCGAGAAGGCACTGTCACCTCTTACCGCTATTCTTAGTATTGGTTAACCATCATCATGAATACTTTTCATTTGCAGCAAATGACCACCTCAAAATCGTTATGACAACAATCAGCAAACAGCTTGCACTTGAATGTCACTCTATGTTGTACGAGAGTCAAACACTCGCCTCGTTTTTAGCCCCAAACCACCCTGGGTTTTGTTTTGGGTGGCAGGGCAGAGGGCCCCATTTTCCCTGCGAGGAAGTTGAGGCCCAGAGAGGGGGCGAGGTCCTGGCCGGGCAGCGGTGGCCCAAGGATGAGGGCGATTCCCCGGCTCCCCATCCAAGCGAGACACCGCAGCAGGAGGGCCCTCCGCTTTCCCAGCCACCTGGGGGCTCAGGATGACCAGCCACCGCCCCGTCCCCTGCAGACTGGGCAGGTCTGAGCCTGCTCGCCTCAGCTCCAACCGTGACCAGACACAGACCTTGGGCCGCTTCCACCTGACTGTGGGGCCTGGAGTGCCCTTATAGTACAGCGAGTCATCGGTGGCTGGGAAGTTGGGGTCCTCAAAGAGCACCTTCCTGCGCAGACAGGCCCGCTTCAGGGCAGAGTAGTGCTGGTCCTCGTAGGGCTTCACACACGAGAACATGGTGGCGGCTGCCCCAGCAGGGGAGGCCGAGACAAGGCAGCAGACAGCGAGGTGGGGACGCGGGTGGCTCCTGAGGTCCCTGGGATGACAGGAAGGGGAGAAGATCATCACTTACTGAGGAGACTGGAGGACCTGCCGCCCGCCGAGTCAGGGGAGCCTGGGGTGGCCCCCTCCCTGCAGCCCTGTGAGGCGGGCACCCTCATCTGCGTCACACGGGCCAGGAGCCGAGGCTCAGAGGCGGGGCCAGACACAGCTGCCACACGCGCGCAGGGACAGGAACCGACTGCCCTGACGCCTCGTCCTGAATGCTCCCATGTCTGATGCTTGGAGGTGATGCCAGCCTGCAGGCCAACAGACCCAGGGCTCCCCGCAAGGCGCTCAGGGCTCCGGGGCCGCACCCGCCCGCTCCTTCCTTTGTCGCCAGCCCCCCCCCCGCCCCCCGCCCCGCCGCCGAGACCTCCTAGAGCCGAGTCAGACTCCTGGCCCGCTCGGCAGCTCCCTGGCTGGTGCCACACGCACGGAACAGCAGGGGCACTGCCTCCAAGCTCCCCTCCTCCGGACCCTCCCCACTTAATCTAGGGGCCTGTTTCTGCCCCGTGGGGAGGGTGCCCCCTCTGGCCATCGTTCACATTCACTCCCCAGGCCCGCCCTCCCGCGCTGCCTTCTTCCGGTTGCTTCTGGAAAAAACATCTCGTGGCTCCTTAATCCTAGTGACCTAACCTCCCCTGAGGCCCCCCATCCCTCACTCCATGGCCTCCCGATCTCCTACGCCAGACTCTCCCTGAAGGCTTCCCAGACTTCACCAAGACTCACTCCTGAACAGTCTCATCCAGTGCCCCCAAGGAGCGGAGGCACTGGTTGACCCCCTCCCCATCCCTGCCCTCCCTCCCCCTCTCCCTCTCGGGCCCGGGCCCTGCACGGAGCAGCGTTCTGCTCACCTCCCCTGCCTGATGACTCCCATCTCCCTGTATTATACATCCTGGACCCCTCTTCTGGGCCCCCAACCCGCCCACCCCGATGAGGGCCCAGGCACCCACAGGCACCAATCCCAAACTGAGCTCCTCATCTCCCTCCACACCCCCGTCCCAAGGAGACGGGACCATAGGCACCCATTAGACCAGAAGCCCCAGGAGCAGGGTCTGCTTGCTTGGTTCCCTGTGTGCATGTGGCCCCCACACAGAGCCCGACACAGAAGGAGGCTGTTCCCGTCAGCAGCCTCCCTGCAGTCCCCTCGGGCTCGGAGCCGAGTGCTCACCAAACACAAGGGACATGGGCTGGACATGGCCAGGGAAAGCCTTGGGAGGAGGACGCACACAGCAGCCGGCCTGACACATGAGACGCCCTGACTCGTGCTCAGACAGCCGGGCATCTGACCGACAGCCCCCGTATCTCAGACGCCAACTGGGCCGCTGGCAGAGCTCCACACCCCCTGGGTCTGCTGGTCCTGGGGCCTGCCCAGGGCAGCAACACTGCAACCCCGCTGGGCTACAAGCCCTGGCTTCCCAGCCCCGCTGAGGGAAACCAAGGCAAGGTAGGCTGGCTCCTGGGGTGAACACAAGTTTGACAGCAAGTCTGATGTGGATGCCAGTCCCAGCTGCACCTCTCACCTGCTGTGTGGCCTTGAATAAGTCACTCAGCCTCTCTGAGTCCCCATTTTCCCAGCTCCGCAACGGGCACAACGTTGCTTTACTAACTGGAAGATGCCGTGAAAGATGCCGTGATAATTAACCAAAGGCTGAGAGCACTGCTTAGCAGGCCAGAGGGAGGAGAACAAGAAGAGGAGACAAGCCCCCTCTCACTACCGAGAGAGAAGCTCCACCCCTCGGGCACCTGCCACGTGCACACCAGGGGGCAAGAGCGTCATGTGCAGCATTTGCAAACAGTGCTGGGCAAGTCTTTCATTGCTCCCATTTTTCAGAAAAGAAAACTGAGGCTCAGTGAAGGGAGGAGCCTTGCCCACGTCCCATGGCAGAGTCTGGACTTGAACCCACATCCCTCGGTGCCTCCACCTTGGCCCAGTGACCCTGTGGCGCAGAGAAAGGGCTAAGGCCACCCACCCCGACTGAGCCAGCCTCACGGGAAGGGAAAGAAGAGGAATTCGACAGGGAAGGGAGAAGCAGGAAGGGCAGGAGGTGAGATGGACGGTGAGTGTGGAATCCGGACAGACGGCAGGAAGAGCAGAGGGGACACACGACGGCTGCACCTTCTGCCCCACATCCGCACTGGGCCTGCTCCCGCTGCTGTGTGACCTCAGGCCAACCACTTAACCTCTCTGGCAGGAAGGCCCAGAACCCTGCCCCCTCCCACCCAGCCTCCCAGCCTTGGAGGCCTGAGGGAAAGAGAAGAGGGGAGCCTACAGAGCCAGCCCCCGGGCCTTCTGGCACGGGGCCACCCAGGAGAGTCATTAGCATCACAGTTTCCGGGAGGGCCTGCTCAGGAAGCAATTAAGGCTGCAAGAATTAGATCAAAGAAGCTGAGAGCAGGATCCCAGAAATCAGCTCTAGCAATTCCACGTTCAGAGCCCAGAGGGCCCAGGGAGGGGGAACAAGCTGGCCGAGGTTGCACAGCCAGGCCAGTGGAGAATGAGGGTTCTGGTGACCCCAGGCCACACCATGGTGAACGCTCCCCGGAGGAGGACAGAAGGGGCGTGGGGGCAGAGAGGAAAGCTTGGCTGGGCCCAGGCCAGGAGGACGGGGGCCAGGCCTAGCTGAAGGTCTGCCCCAGCTCGGCCATCGCTCCAAGCCGCACCCCTGTCAGCGAGGCTGCCCCTGGCGTGCTGACGCCAGGTTCTTCTGGCCCCAACCTTTGTACACATGGCACCTCATGGTGACTGTCCTCCCACACCTTCCGAGGGCCCCAAGATCACCTCCCACTCCCTCTACTGGGTCAACCACCCCATGGGGGTCACAGAGTCAAGAGCCTCTGAGCTTTGCCCTCTCCCTGCAGCTGCAGGCATCACCACGGAAGGCCGTGAACCGAGCCAGAGTCAGGAGAGCCATCTTCCAAATCCGGGGGCTCTTCTCTCTGGGCCTGAGCTGGGAGCAGGGCGCTTCCCCTTTCTGAGCATCTTCACACTGTGTGCGAGCCAGCGTTAAGGGGAAAGTCCCAGCTTCCCGGCTGCCTTCAGCCCGCCCTCTTGCCTCCGCCCCTGCCCAGCTCACCCCACCCCTACCATTCATTCTCCACGCCAAGTTCCAAACCTGAGAGCCCCAGCAGATCCCTAAAGCGGCGTACGCAGAGCCTCCATACACACTTTTCCTTCCGCACATGCATTCCCTGTCCCCTTTTGCAGCTCAGCCCAAGGGCCTCCCCCCTGCCCCCTCCCCTCCGCAGTTCTGGAACCCCTGTGACGACACCCATTACATCATTCCATCGTACCCCACCTGCCCAGGACTTGTCCATCCCCCCGGCCCAGCCTAGGCCCCTGCAGGGCAGGGCCCGCCCCGGCTCCTCTTCTGGACCCCCAGGGTCCAACACTGGGGGGCGGACGAAGTAAATCTGTATTGAAAGAGCTGACAGGGGTGAAGCAGGAACCCCTTCCTGGGTGGGTAAAACAGGCTCAAAGAGTGGCAGGGACCACCAAAGGGGTCAGCACCAGCGCTGGGGGCTCCTGAAGGCAGGGCCTGCCCCTTCCCGCTGGGCCAGGCCTCCAGGCCTCTCGCTCTCCCCCTCCCTCCCAGCCCCACTGGCTGGGTGCCAGCCAGCGCCCACACCCCTGCCGTGCCCGTGGATATCACGGCCGCCCTGGCTCTCTCCGCAGCAGCCAGCCCTTCTCCAGCTCTTAACGGAGTGCTGGCTTTAGTTCCCAATGTCCTCCTACGCTGTGTGACCCTGGACAGGCCCCATCCCCTCTCTGGTCTGCGTGGTCCTTGTCTGGAAGGAAAGCTAACGGGCCAGGGTCTCTGGGAGGATCAAAGGAGACACCGCCGCACAGAATGCACTGTGCTCCTGATGGGGGTCACAGCTGGCGTCTGGGGTACACCTACCACGTTCCCACACCCCTGCCAGGAGGGCAACGACAATTCAGGGTCCCCGTCCCCAAGGAACCTCATGGTCTAGCGTGGCCAAAAGATACAAGGCAGCACGGAACACATCATTCAGAGATTCCACCAAGAGGGATGCAAGGCCTGGCCCCAGAAGCTGGCCATTCTTTAGCAAAAGACAAAGGCCATTCCAGAAAGAGCTGTTCCGCTCAAGCCAAGTCTCAGTGGCAGGAAAGTGCAAGGTAATCCAGACCGAGCCTGGCCCGGTAGGGCCGGCAGACTAAGCATGGGGCTGCTGACTGGGCGCAGAACAAGGGCCTGAGAGTGCTCACCAGGGAGCTCAGAGCAACCAGCTTTCTGGCCGGTCAGTCGGACTTGAGCTCCAGCCCTGACTGCACCACCTAGCACTGTGCGTCCTCGGGTAAGGCGTGAACCCCTCTGAGCGGCTGTCTGTCAGCCCTACCTGGTTTTAGCTTCTCAGGTGACAGGGAAAGAAAGTGGCGTCCGCCCGGGGCCCGCCCTGCAAGACCCTCTGTCCTCACCTTGGAAATGGTGTGGACCCACCTCCAGGAACCTAGTCCGATGTTCCCTGGGCCTGCGGGAGGTGGTGTGGACCACCGGGCTGTGCACGGGGTGGGCTAAGGGCTCATCCTGCAGCAGGTCACACTGAGCCAACAGCAGGAGGGGGCTGACAGCACTGGGCCTTCCCTGGATGCTACAGCCACCCCAGCCAAGGAGACACAGGAGAGAGAGTTTTCGTTCCACTCTATAGATGAGAACATTGAGGAAAGTGCCCCAAATCTGCAGCCTATTGGCTGGATCCCAAGCTTCCAGACTCCCTCTCACACCGGGGCCTCCCAAAGCAGGGCCCGGATTAATGCCGTGAGCACTTGAGGGGGTACTCTGACGTGGCAGGAAAGCCGTCAGGAAGAAAGCTGTTGCCCGTGCGGGGCTCTCTGCAGGACTCTCTCTGAGGGGGAGCTCGGTTCGGTCTGGCGGGCCTTTAATTCCTCATGGCCCTGGCCCACCTGCTTGACACTGGAGGAGCAGGCCTCACCAGACACCAGCGCCTGGCGGACAGTCAATGGCCTTTTCT